GGCCCCTCAGCCGGGGCGGGAGGGGAACCGGCACCGCCGGGGAGGGCGAGCCGCCCGTGCCCCCCTTGGCAGCGCCCGCTCCTCCCGCGTCCACCCGGGAGATCACCAGCCCCCGGGGCAGCCCCGAAAGCACAGCCGGGCCGCAGGTGGGCCAGCGCGTCCGGGAAGGCAGGACAGACAGACAGCTCGGCAGGACGTGCCCTCCGCAGCCCCGGCCGGCCCGGCCGCGTCTCGCTCACCTGCCTGCACCGTGTCCGAAAGGTCGTGCCCGGGGGCCGCGGTCCTGGGGAATTCCTTCAGTTTCCGAGCGCTGAGGTTCAGCCCCCCAGAATTGGCCGCCTCCTCCAGCGCGCGCTCCAGACCCCGATTCAAGGGCAGGCTGAAACCCCCGCCGCCGCCGGCCCCGGCCCCGCCGCTGCCTCCGGCTCCGCCGTGGTGCTGGTGGAGGTGGTGGTGGTGGTGGTGGTGGTGGTGGGGATGATGATGGGGGTGCAGAGCAGGGGCGAAAGATTGGGGTTCGCTTCCCGGCGTCGCCATCTTCTTCAGGACCCCCCCCACCCCCGCCCCGCCCCGCCCCGCCGCTCCTGCGGGGAGGGTCACGGCCTTTCCCGGGCGGGAAAACCGCAGATCGGGCTCCCGGCCGTTGCAGAGTGCTGGGTCGAACGACGCGGGAGAGCGGGTGGAGGCTGCGGGCGGGCGGGCGGGCGCGCGCGGAGCGGGGGGTGGACCGGGAGGCGGCGGCGGCGGCTCGGTCTTAAAGGTTTCCTGTCCCCGGGAAGCCCAGGCCGGCGGCGGCGGCAGCGCGCATGTGCCTCCGCCCGCCCCTCCCGCCCGCTCCGCCTCGCCCGGCGCCCAGCCCCACAACCGCCCGCAATCCTCCCCGAGCCCCTCGGAATCTCCTTCCACCCGGGAGATTGTAGCTCGAGAAGGGTTTTGAGCGACGTGATTGACGGTATCCTGAGATCGCGGAGAGGAAAGCCACTCGGGGCTGTTTCACGCAGGATTTCCTCCTTGCATAAGGCAGTTGTTGTTGTTGTTGTTGTTGTTGTTGTTGTTTGGTTGGTTTGGTTTTCCCCCACTAGGGGCTCAGCCCACATTTAAGGCCTTCTGGCATTTAAATACCTACAAGGAACCAGGAAGCCGGCCTAGGGAGTCTACATAAATTACCTCATTAAACCCAGCAACTCCGTCAGGGGAAAGATTGCTTCCTTCCTCCAACGGAGGAAGTGAAGAAACGCATCTAACCGAGGTCGCTACTGCCAGTCAGAGGTGGATTCGAACCGGCTGCCCTCAGACGAGGATTGCTGCCTTTCACCGGCATACTCCCAGAACCCAGATTTCAGTGCTAAATAGCCAAGTCCGAGGAAAGATTTTGGGGGAAAGGGTCTTTTTTATGATGGACAGGATGAATGGTCATATAAGGGAGATTGGGCTATGGCTGATTTGAATCCCAAATTAGGTGGCGCCTAGAGCCAGCACGCCAATAGGTGGCAGCTGAAATCTGAGCCTTGGTACCATCGAAGTGTCCTTGTGCAGCTCGTGGTGTGACATGCCAACCAATACACAGGCTGGCAAGAGCGTGAGTTCAGGTCCTGCCCTCTGCGGCCCTCACAGGGGGCCCAGGCAAGAAAGTTTGCACACGGTAGTGAGGGTACAGAAAACATCCGTCACCTAAGGGCAGAGAGCCTGGGAGATGGATAAAATAGCACTGCCTTCCCCAGGCTTTGGCTCCAGCCCCGTGGGGGCCTTGTTTTTATTTTTGCACTGCACTAAAGGCTTGATGTCTCTACAGGGGTCTCTCACAGTGACTGGGCTTGCAGAAAGGAAAGGGCATGTGGGGTTCGGAAGTAATACCAGGAGGGAGGTAGTCTTTTAAAGTGGCAGTGCAGAAGTGTGGACCTAGGAAACAGGGTGGAACTTGTGACTTCATGCACGCGGCATTGAAGTGCTATGGCGCTTGGTTGACTTCTGGCAGTCACCCTTAATTCCTACAGGCTGAGACCAAATGCGCCACCTCTTGGAAGGGACAGATGCCACCTACTGGTATCTCCCCCAACCTCCAGCCTTCTTTCTCTCTTTCCAGCTCTTTTTAACCCTTTGCTAAAGGTTTTCGTATGTTTTTTTTAATCCCAGGCTTCAAATTTTATTATAGTAATAGAAAACAGAAGCATATTTATATTACATAGAGCTTTCTCCCAAAAATCCAGGGAGAAACAAAGAGAAAGCCTGTGAAGATATGCATTCAGGTTGAGGCCGAGGCAAACTCAGGGTACAGCAAAAAAAATTTAGGCCATATCACAGAGAGCCTAACTTCTATTTTAGAAAAGGATCATGAATCAATGAGAATGAGGCTATGATTTGCTTTTGAACAAATAAGGAAGTCCTAATGTGAGATTGACCTAGTAATATTAATAGTTCATTTTATGAACTCCTGGAGGGAAGGACACATTCATTTTAGCAGCTCCCTCCCTGTATTCCAGAACTAGGGGAGGACTTTATATATAATAAGTGGACAGTGACTATTAGTAATGGATTAAATATTGCATAAGAGGACACTATTGCTCAAATTGCTATTTGTTGATACACCCTTAAAGTTTTAAATGAGTTCCCTGAATAAAGGAATTTTGACTTCACATTTAGGAAGAAAATGTGACCCTTGAAATTAATTGATCTTGATTATTTCCAAGAAAAATTCAGGAAACAAGCACTGTCCCATGACTATTTGTAATCCCAGCAACAGGGAGGCAAAGGCAAGAGAATGGCAAATTCCAGGTCAGTCTGGGCCATGGTCAACCTGAGCTTCATAGGGAGACTATGTGTCACAACAACAACAGAGACAGAGAGGTGACAAGCCAGTTCCACAGGCTTCTTTAAAGATGGAACTATTTCTTTAAGCTAATACTGTGTTTCTTCTAGAGAATTGTACCTTATTTCTGGCCTGCCCTCCCCTCCCTCTACATAGAGTGCACTAGGAATAGTATATCTGGCTATTGTGTTACTTTGTCCAAAAGTGACTTCTGGTCAGTGTCAAAGCATCCAGCCAGTCCCAACTGTTCACGCCCCTGTGACTGTTCCTAATGCTTACCCCAGTTTCTTTGAGCTATGTCTCTAGTGTGTAGCTGGCTATCTATACCTTAGGTTTTGCATTTTGAGCTCCAGTGTCCTTGTATTTAACCAACCATGGGTTGGGAAAGACCTGTGTATGTATCAAACATGTTTAGATCTTGTTTCCTTGTCCTTCTTTTGACACCCTTGTCATCAAGAGGGTTTTGGGTTTTTTTTTGGGGGGGAGGGTGTCTGTGTATCTGTGTGTGTGCATTTGTTTTTGCTGGTACTAGGGCCCTGTGTTCATTCTTTCCTCAAGGCTGGAGCTCTACCACTTGAGCCACACCCCCACTTGTGGCTTTTGCTGGTTAATTGGAGTGAAGAGTCTTTCATATTACTCTGTCTGGCTTCAAACTATGGTCCTCAGATCTCAGTCTCCAGAGTAATTAGGTATAAATCAAGAGTGTCTGACTGAATCAGGTATTTTACATAATCTAGATAGGAAGTAAGTAGGAAGGTTCTATGTACACCAACCGCCACTTTCAGAAAGAACTTGCCCTTCGGATTTCGGTATCCCCAGGGAGGACTCTAGACCCACTCTCTCATGGAAGCAAGGTTTCTGTTCATTTTTGCCAGTCAATTTTATTTGGTTTTTTCAATTATTGAAACCAAGAGTTCTTATTAATACATTTATTCTACCAAATTTTAGTATAATTTCCTTTTGTTTTTCTTTTTTCTTTATTTTTGGATCATCTAATCATCATATTTTATAACTATTTAGGTGATAGCAGGATTTTTTTCATAGTTTGTCTTCAACATTGTAAGGTTATTCTGTGAAACAATATAACTGAAATTATTGGTTAAGGTGATGGGAATACAAATGTTTTTCCATTAAAAATGTCAACTAATAGAGCAAAAGTGACCAAGTTAATCAACAAAAATTTTTAAACAGTAAAATCATTTAAAAAAAAAATTCTTTGTGTTTGTTTGTTTTCTTGGGTCCAGTTGTGGGGCCTGAACTCTGGGCCTGGGCGTTGTCCCTCAGCTCTTCAGCTCAAGGCTAGCGCTCTACCACTTGAGCCACAGCGCCAATTCCAGCTTTTTTCTTTTTACTTATGTGGTGCTGAGGAATTGAACCCAGGGCCTCATGCATGCAAGACAAGCGCTCTACCACTGAGCCACCTTCCCAGCCCCTAAAAAAAATTCTTGCACTCAGTAAAGATACCAATCATAAATCCTTCAACATTTCAAACCCAACCTCAAACATTTGTGAGACATGCAAGGTTCATAAGAACCAACATCATTAAGGATGGCTTAATGCCCTGGTGGCTCACAACTGTAATCCTAGCTACGCAGGAGACTGAAATCTGAACATCATAGTTTAAACCAGTCAGCAAAAAGCCAAAAGTGAAGATGTGGCTCAAGTGGTAGAGTGCCAGCATTTAGAGAGAAAAAAAAAGCCATGCAAAAGTACAAGGTCCTAAGTGCAAGACCTCATAACTGTACTTAAAAATAGGAAAGAGAAGTTGTTTGGCCTATGTAGTCTTCTCTGAAAGTCTAAGAATTCTCTTTTGATAGACTGAAGGTTGTACATGGACAGCCATATTTGGTGTTCATTGTCCCCACTGCCCTCTCCAGGAATCTGGCCAAAGTCCAGTCATCATAACAGATGAGTTCACTCATCGGATGCACCACTAAAAATGTAATCCAAAGCCCAGGGAAACCAAAATCAAATAAGAACAGGCATCTGGCCTTAAGGGTAGTGAAATGAGTCTTTATTCACATCTATTTCCCTTCATGGTCTCTAACCCCTCTGTTTCCAGCTCGGCTTCCCCAAAACGAAGCAAGAATGTTTCCTGATTCACAAGGCCTTTTCTGGTTATCCCCTCCACATACTGTCAATACTAAAGTATTCTCTTTGTGCTAGTTTATAAATATTTATCTGTAAATATTTATCTGTAAATGATCAGGACATGTTGTATTTATTAGCTTTCCTTTGCAAGGAACAGAACTTTTTAAATCAACCATCTAGCTGATTCAATAAATAACATTACCTGAGATAGTCATGTATTGCAATATAACTAATACCAACAACATGAATTTTTCTGAAGATAATAAATCTAAGCATTTTAGACATGTTTCAGATATAATTTTTTTTGAGGGGGGTCTGGTTGTGGGGCTTGAACTCTGGGCCTGGGCACTATCCCTCAGCTCTTCAGCTCAAGGCTAGTGCTCTACCACTTGAGCCACAGAGCGCCACTTCCAGCTTTTTGCTTTTTGCTTATGTGGTGCTGAGGAATCGAACCCAGGGCCTCATGTATTCAAGGCAAGTGCTCTACCACTGAGCCACCTTCCCGGCCCCTCAGATATTTTTCTAGTGTTCCAAAACACAATCTGTAAACCAGTTACTTAGTGTCAGCATAGCCCTGACATGATGGGAAAAAATGATGTTTGTGCTAAGTTATTTTGTTTGTTTTATGTTTTATGCCAGTCATGGGGCTTGAACTCAGGGCTTTGGTGCTGTTCCTGGGTTTTGTTTGCTCAAGGCTAGCTAGCACTTTACCACTTGAACCGCAGCTCTACTTTTGGCTTTTTTCTTTTCAGTAGTTTATTGATGATAAGAGTCAAGGCTGGGCATTAGCGATCCATGCCTGTAACCTAGCTACTTAC